GGCTATGGCATTTTCACTATTGCCACTTGAGTTTTTGTGGATTAAAGAGCTTTCAATCGAAAAATAAGGTGATTGGTCTTCCTCATATTACTACTCCTTCGTAAGTTTGTGAAGAATGTGATGTTGGCAAACAACATTGTGCTCAATTCCCTCAAGGAAAGTCCTGGAAAGCAAAAACTATCCTGGAGCTAGCTCATTCTGACATTTGTAGGTCGATAAAACCATCTTCTAATGGAGGTAAAAGATACCTAATTGCTTTCATTGATGATTATACTAAAAAAACTTGGGTTTATTTTTTACCGGAAAAATCAAAAGCTTTCAATGCATTTAAAAGCTTTAAGGCCTGTGTTGAAAATGAAACAAAAACGACCATTAAAACCCTCCATATTGATCATGGTGGTAAATATTGTTCAAGAGAATTTGAAGATTTTTGTGATGACCATGGCATTCAAAGAGAGCTCACAGTTGCCTATACACCGCAACAAAATGGTGTATCGAGAGAAAAAAAAGAACCATCCTTAATATGGTGAGAAACTTGCTAGCAAGAAGGAGAATTCCAAAGAACTTTTGGCCAGAAGCAGTAAATTGTAGCATTCATGCCTTGAATAGAAGTCTTACTTTTGTTGTTCAAAACATGACACTAGAAGAGGCTTGGAATGGGCGGAAATCAACTGTAGATCACTTCAGAATTTTTGGTTGCATTGCTTATGCACATGTCCCAAATGAGAAAAGGAAGAAACTTGATGATAAGGGTGAAAATGTGTCTTTCTTGGTGTTAGTGAAGCATCCAAAGCATATAAAATTTTCAATCCACAAACTAAGAAGATTGTAACTAGTAGAGATGTTGTTTTTGATGAAAAAAGCACTTGGGATTAGAATAGGCAGCAATCTACTCAAGTCATTCTTGATGGTGATGCTGAAGAAAAAGGGCAACCAACTCCAGTAGCCTTTATGCCCAAAAATTCATCAAATACAACTCCAACCACTGCTGAAACTCACCAACAACAATAAAAGCTACTAACGTAGTAGCTCACTCTTTTCATCTTGTTCGAAAAAGGCTCGCTTGGATGAAAGACTATGAGGTAACTGGAATTGATCAAATTGAAGATCCAATCACGTATTTTGCTTTATTTTCAGATTGTGACCTTACAACGTTCAAAAATGCTATCAAAGAATCAAAATGGCAAAAAGCGATGGATGATGAAATTTAAGCCATTGAAAAAAATGATACTTAGGAATTGTCTAGTCTTCCAAAAGGGCACAAAACCATTGGTGTAAAGTGGATCTTCAAAAGAAAACTAAGGGAAAATGGTGAAGTTGATAAGTATACAGCACAATTGGTGCTAAGGGATGCAAGCAAGAATATGAGGTCGACTATACATAAGCTTTTGCTCTAGTTGCAGAACATGATATAATCAGATTGGTGATCACATTGGTGGCATACAATTTTTGGCCCATCTTCCAACTAGATGTCAAATCCCCGTTCTAGCATGGAAACTTGGAGGAACAGGTATTTGTAGAACAACCTCCTAGTTATATTAAGATTGGAAATGAGCATAAAGTGCATAGATTAAATAAAGCTCTTTATGGATTACATCAAGCCCCATGGTGTTATAGTTGCATTAAGGCTTCTTTTTTGAAGGTTTTTAGAATTATTTATATGAGCACAAACCTTTTGTTAACTTGGAGATGAAGGGAAAATACTCATTGTCTGCTTATATGTAAAAGATCTTATATATACTAGAAATGATAGTGTAATGTTTGAAGAGTTCAAGAAGTCTATGATGATTGAATTTGAAATGTCTAATCTTGGTATGATGCATCATTTCCTCAACATAGAAGTAGTGCAGTCTACTAATGGGATTTTTATTTCTTAAAAGAAGTATGTGAGAGAAATTTTGGACAGGTTTCGGATGAAGGATTGCAATCCTATAAACACTCCAACTGAGTTTGGCTTAAAGCTATAAAGAAAGATCATGAAGGAAAAAAGGTGGATAGCGCACTTTACAAGCAAATAGTGGGTAGTTTAATGTATTTAATTACAACAAGACCAGACATAATGTATTCTGCAAGTCTAATAAGTGGATATATGGAGAATCCAACAATAATGCATCTATTAGCTACTAAGAGAACCTTTCTTTACTTGCAAGGAACTAGAGATTTTGGGCTATTCTACAAGAAGGGTAAAAGGTTAAATTTGTTTGGGCTTACTGACAGTGATTATGCAGGAAATCAAGATGATAGAAAAACACTTCAGGTTATGTTTTTATGTTGGGCACAGGGGCTATTTCGTGGTCTTCCAAGAAACAACCGATTGTCACTTTGTCAACTACAGAAGCTGAAGTTGTTGCTGCAACAACTTGTGCTTGTCAAGCTATCTAGCTAAGGAGAACTCTTGAAGAGTTACATTTCAAGCAAGTAGGAGCTACAACAATTTTTGTGACAACAACTCAACTATCAAAATTTCCAAGAATCCTATGCTATATGGAAGAAGCAAACATATTGATGTGATATATTATTTTTTAAGAGATCTCAGCAATGGTGGAACAATTGATCTGAAGTATTGTCGAAGTGAAGATCAATTGCCTGACATATTTACTAAACCTTTTAGACTTCTTTCCAAAATCTGAGAAGGTTGTTGGGCATTTGCACTTTGGAAAATTCAAATTGAAAAAAAAAAAAAGAGTTGCAAGTATAAGCTGAAGCTTAAAAGGTTTCAATTTAAGGGAGGGATTGTTGAATAATTTTCTTTCACTGCACAGTTTTTTTTTACTAAGTCAAGTTTACCCTAATTTTTACGGAATTGGTTATTATTATTCTGCAGAACATGGTCATATAACTTAATTTTTATCAGTAATTTTCTGCACGTTCAAGTTATTTTTCATTGGATATAAGCTAATAAAAAGATTGTAATTTTCTGAATAAAGTGTGCAACTTAAAAATAACTTTATCTTCTCTTTCTTTTACGCTTTAGCTTCTGTTTGTCAATTATAGCTATCACACTTGACAACCTTTTAACTCCACTTATAAAGTTCGTGAATTCTACAATCAATATATAGAATAATAATCTCAAAAACAATAGCTAGAGAATATAAAAAGAGGATGATAAAGGGTTGAAGTGCATTCCACCTCAAGAAAGCATGTATCTTAGCTTGGAAGACTACAAATAATCACATATCCTTTCTATTGACTGATAATACATTGTTATTATTAGTGACATGATTTTTATTAAAAAAAATCAGATAAATTCAGTTCATGATAATTTTACAAAAGAACAGTTGCCTGTGACACTGGCGGCTCCTTGTAGAGCATTTCAGCTGGGGGAATCTGCAAGCTTAGCATAAAATAATGGTGACCCTAAGCGAGTACGGAAAGACAGTTGGTAAATCATGATGCTAACAAATCTTGAACTAATCAATTCCTCCTAATTGCCAGTGTGAGTACACTTAGCTAAGAATGAAAAGAAAATAAGCTTAATCATCATTAATATATACTTCCAAATTTCAAAATTATTATAATTAAGGATATATCAACATAAATAATTAATATATATAGTTTGTTTAAAGAATGAGAGAATTCTGGCCAGAAAAAGGAATGAGAGAATGTGAAAGCATTATTATAGTAGTGATTAAAAACCTTAATAGTATTATTAGATATAAAATGTGAGGTCCAAAGAGTAAAGAATAAAGGGAATTGAATGAGGAAGTTACCTGAAAATGAGGCACCAACAATCCCGTGATGCAGCAGGGACTGGGCATATGATAAGCTGCGATTAAATATTTGAACGTGAATAATGGGCAACCGACACCGCCACCGGCATCCTTCCACCAAAGAAAAATTTTTACTAAGTACTTAATAATATCATGCCAAGTCGTTGACTATAAATTAGAAAGTCAAACCTAAGCTTCACATGCTTTTCCATTGCCTGTATGAGTAGATCATGGGTATTCATGGTCTCATCTCTGAAATTCAGTCATTTAATCGAACACTAAATAAACCGTATTTCCTTTTTTTTTTAAAGGCATATGGAGTTTTGATTGAGTTACCAAGAAGTTCATTTCAATCTTTCAGTCTTGAATTAATTGATGATGCAACTTCTTCAAATCTTAAATTAATATTAGAAATTGATAAACATGCTGTGAAGATTTTTATGTTGAATCAAGTATATATCAATGACACTATAAATATATTTTAATTTTTTATTTTAGATTTAGAAAAAAAAAATTTGAACTTTACTTTTTAAATTAAAAATTATGCATCAATCAATAAATTAAATATTCGAATACATATTTTAAGTAATACATTAAAATTCATATGCATGCGGGCTTATTTTCCTTTCATTATTGGGTTTATTTTGCACTTTTCAAGAGTTGAGAAAAGCTTGAGAACTACAAAAAAAAGGAAAATTAAAACAAATGAAAAAGTCATACTTATAAAAAAGCATTCATAAACTTCCCCTAAATTAACTTTCTTCCAGTTAATTTTTTTTCCTTTTTTTTAAGTAACCATGAACCTTTGTCATGGAATGGACTTACCCTCCACCAGAACTAACTTGGTATTTTGAAGTGTGACTAAACCTTCCCTCCTCGTATAATCTTTGTCTGTTTTTACTTTTTATACTGAAAATAAAATCATCTTTATCCTTCAGAAAAAAAGCGTTGTCAAAAGTTGAATCCTCTCGAGATCTGAAAATTTCCATGCAACAAAGGCCATAGCCTGGGGTCCACACGCATTTAACAGAGAGGATTTGAGTTCCAAAAAAAAAAAGAAACCATCGAACGATTCCGACAGCTTGGAAGTTGGACCTTCCACTCCATTTCTTGGGAGCTAACTTGTCTCAACCTCCTTTGCCTTGACGCGGGACTCAGCTAATCAAATGTCAACCTTTGCCTCTCGCACAAACAACTGGCTCCTGACTCCTGGAGAATCTTCCAATCCCAATTCAGGCTCAGCGTTATGACCTTGTCCATTTCCCCTTATAAATGTATCAACCACTCTCAACAAAATCCATCCCCATCAACCTTCCAAAGTAGACAGGGTCCTTTCCTCAAGCCCCCAAGAAACTCTCTTTAAAACTCATCTCCTTCCCTGCCAATCTTTCATCAAATATCCCATTCTTTTTTTCTCTCTATCAAATTTGCAAAATCTTCCCCTCTCCTTCCTTTTCTCTAGAAATTCCTTTCCGGTGACATTCGATACAATTGGAACGACAAGACCAAGAAGAATAGCCCTTAGGATCAATGGGGAACTACGTTTCTTGCACTTTATCAACACCACTAGGAAAATCATCAAAATCAACAAAGGTGATTCTCCCAAGCGGTGAAATCAGGCAATTCAATGAACCCATCAAAGCCGCTGAGCTCATGCTTGAAACACCAAACTTCTTCCTCGTAAACTCTCAATCTCTCAAGCTCGGCCGCAGGTTTTCACCTCTGCATGCTGATGAAGACTTAGAGTTCGCCAACGTCTACGTCATGTTTCCGATGAAGAGAGTGAACTCTACGGTGACCGCAGGTGACATGGGAGCTTTGTTTCTTGCTGCAAACTCGGCTGCTAAAAAGGGTTTTGGTGGGGAGGTGAGGATCTTGCCAGAAGCTGAAGAGGCTAATTTACGGGATGTTTCATTGGAAAATATCGAGGAGAAAGAGGCAATGCCGAAGCTTAACTTGGATGATATTGAAGAGTTTTCAACTCCAGGGTTCATGCATAGATTATCAATGTCAAGGTCTAAGAAACCATTGCTTGAAACCATAGCTGAAGAGCCTGTTTGTGCCAGATGATGGGCTATGTTGGTCTCTCTTTATGGTTTCTAGCAGAGAAAATTATAACAAAAATTATATATTTTGGTGGAGATAGCTAGCAAATTAGCTATGGGGTTTCAATTTGTGGTATTATTTGCAAGTTGCAAGCTTTATGGGGAACTTGTTTTGGGATCTGAACAGAAAATCGAAGATTGGATGTCCAGATTTTGAAGAATGTTTTTGGATGTGACAGCACAGGGAAAAAGGGTCATGTTGATTGTATATTCTTTAGAGTTTTGATTTTGATTATTTTCTATATTCTATGTGGGAGTCATGTGCTGAACAGTGAGCATCCATCATATCAGAACTTAGAACAGAAAAGGAAAATTATATGTAGGAAACAGATGTATGTAGTGCATGATTGTTTTAAACTGTTGATATAGAAAAGAAAAGTTTGTATTCTCAGCTTAAATTTTTGGATTTTAAATTCTTATGATTTTTTACTTTTAATTTTTTTTTAATTTGCTGGTTGTGCTAGAAGAAAATAATTGGGGTAACATCTATGCATCAAAGAGTGTCACAAATGAAAGCAAAATAATCATCATAAATTTACAAGTTCTCTCTGGTCCTCTATATGCCATTTTTGTGAGAATGGTTTTTTTTTTCTTTTGGAAATATAATCTCTTTCCATTTTTTAGATATTTGGGACCTATACAAGAATGCCACTTGCAATTTAAATAGTATAAAAATATTTTTTTTTTGCATGATTACAATCATGGTGATGAAAAATAATAACATTTACTATTGAAAAATAGACAAATGTTGCAAGTATTTTGGTCATTCTTGATTGAAAAGCTATATATAATTTAATTTTAGCAAAATATTTATACAATGATCATCTATTTAAAATTACAATACCCTTAGCAACATATTTATCCATATTGGCACTTTTTCACTTCACAGTGTAATGGACAATATGAAAAAAATTATTTTTAAATAAATTAAAATAATTTAAAGATAAAATCCTAATTTAATCAATCAAAATTCAGAAACTCAAAAATTGGTCAATTAAAATCCATCTATGGATGCTTTAGCTCTAATTGAATACAATAGGTTTGACATAAAATTAAAGAAATTAAACTCTCATTGAATCATCTCATCCAGTATTATATATTGCTCTTCCAAGTCATGTAACACACATTGAGATAGAAGAAATTTTGAAGAATAAAGCTATTAGAACTCTCACAATTAAGTTCAAAGAAAATTAAAAAAAAAAACAAAATGTTCAAAACTCTCACAAATTCACCAAAGATGATATAAAAAATAAATAAAATCTCCATAATTTTAATAAACAAATCTAAAAAGAAAGATATGAAAAATCAGAATCTCTCAAGAGTTTCAATCTACAAGTCTAGGAGAAAAATGTGAAAGATAAAAGTCTCAGAATCCCAAACACAATTCAAAAGAAAATGATTTTGAAGACTTAAGGTTTATCCAAAGTTTTAAGAATGAAACTATGAGATTGAGGAAATTAGCAAAATACTGATATTAGGCTTCACGACTGTTCAAGAAATTGCCTTTTGAGCTCATGAAAGGAGATCAATTTCACTTGTTTAACATAAAATCATCAAAACCCTAAAAGTATATTTTTGTTACATAAACGAATTAGACGATTATTTTTTTTATTTTAAAAAACTTTTAAAAGTTGACATGTGAGTTTTATTTATAAAATTATTATTTGTTTCTTACTTTTTATATTTTAATTTCAATACGAAATTGTGTGTGCAAGGATATATGTACAATTTTCCTCTTGATTTTCACCCTGAACTTTTATACTTTATTATTGGATCAAATACTTATTTTTTTAAGTGTTTTGTTTTATTTATATGTATGTCTAATTTTTTTTCTTATACATAATCACAATAAATTTTTTATTTTTCCAAAATTTAGAGTTTCTAATTAAACATTATTTAAACAATTCAAGGTGATTTAAATGTTGTAACCCTTATCTCGCAAATATTTGGAGGAAATAGAATGAAAAGAAAAAAAAAAAAAAAGAAAACACCCTTTTCTGAAAAAAGCCCTTTGGCGCCACTGTACCTCGCCCAGTGTTAGACGCCCCAGTCTATCAAAAATCCCAAATCAACCTCTGAAAAAGGCACCTTTCCCTCCCCTGAACCTCCACACCTCCCCGCCAATGTCCTCTCAAACCGCCACCAAAATCCTAACCGTAAACTCCAGCGAACTCTACCTCGCTGCCCTAAACTCCCCCCATTCCACCCTCTCTTTCCCCCCAATTCCCTCCTCTTTCCCTCCCTCCAAACTCATTCCCAACTCCCGCTTCCTCATCGACTCCTTCCGCCACCCCTCCACCACCTTCTCCGCCGCCTACTTCCTCTCCCACTTCCACTCCGACCACTACTCCGGCCTCTCCCCTTCCTGGTCCGGAGGTATCATCTTTTGTTCCCACCTCACTTCCCTGCTCCTCATCCAAACCCTTAAAATCCTACCTGATTTCATCTTCCCCTTACCTTTAAACGACCCCGTTGAAATAGATGGCTGCGAGGTCATTCTCATTGACGCCAATCATTGCCCTGGGGCAGTCCAGTTCTTATTCAAAGTTCCCACTAAAAATGGGAGCTTTGAAAGGTACGTTCACACGGGCGATTTTCGTTATTGTAATTCAATGAAGTTGAATACTTATTTGAATGGATTTGTTGGTTGTGATGCTATTTTTCTTGATACTACTTATTGTGATCCAAAATTCATATTTCCTTCTCAAGAAGAATCGATTGATTATGTGGTGGGTGTGGTAGATGGTATAGGAAAGGAATTTGAGAAAAAGAGGGTTTTGTTTCTTGTTGCTACTTATGTTGTTGGGAAAGAGAAGATTTTGGTTGAGGTTGCACGGAGATGTCAGAGGAAGATATGCGTGGATGGGAGGAAAATGGGGATTTTGGGTGTTTTAGGGTACGGGGATGATGGGGTTTTTACGGAAGATGAGAGTGAGAGTGATGTTCATGTGGTTGGTTGGAATGTGTTGGGTGAGACTTGGCCGTATTTTCGGCCAAATTTTGTGAGAATGAAGGAGATTATGGTGGAAAAGGGGTATGAAAAAGTTGTTGGTTTTGTGCCGACTGGGTGGACTTATGAAGTCAAAAGGAATAAATTTGCAGTGAGGTCTAAGGATTCACTTGAGATACATCTAGTCCCGTATAGTGAGCATTCTAATTATAATGAGCTTAGAGAATATGTGAAGTTTTTGAAACCGAAGAAGGTTATTCCTACAGTCGGTATGGACATAGAGAAGCTTGACAGTAAGCATGCGGATAAAATGAGAAAGCACTTTGCTGGGTTGGTTGATGAAATGGCCAATAAGAAGGACTTCCTGATGGGTTTTCATCGTGGCAATGCTGAAAATATGGAAAAAGTAGAAGTGGATGCTATTGCTGGCTTGAATGAGGAGCAGGGCCTGGAGATAAAACAAAATATACTGGAAATGGAAACAGTTGAGAGTAATGATGTAGATATTACTTTGAATGATTCATCTTCATTGCACAAACGTGATTCACAAGATCTTACCATACCGAGTGAGGAGGAAAGAGAGAGAATCATTGAGGAATTTCAGGACTGTTTGCCCAAATGGGTCACCAGGGACCAGATATTAGATTTGATTGGCAGCTCAAGATGGAACATTGTTGAAGCAGTTTCTACATTTTGTGAACGTGAAATTGAGTTATACGAGCAAGTTTCTGCTTGTAGAACTTCTGATTCTGCATCCCAAACCACTTCATCTAACAATTCCATGTCACTTTCAAGTTCAGGACCTTTTAGAAGTAGCACTCATGAAAGTGTTAGCTTTCATTTAAGTCAAGCCAGCAAGTCTCCTAGCTTGAAACTTTCAGTTAGGAGCAACATATCTCCTGGAAAAAGGAAGAAAAACACGGAGAACAAGTCGAATAAGAAACTAAAAAGTAATTCAAAATCGGAATCTAGTGGGTCAAAGCAACCTACAATAACAAGCTTCTTCAGTAAACTTTTGGCTGATGATGCTAAAGGTGATAGGAGTCGTGTAAAAATTGAGGAAGGCCCCAAAGGTGAAAACTCCTTTCCTAATAATTTGACTAAATCATATGTAGAGAAAATAGATCAGTTTATTCATATAGTAAATGCCAATGAGTCATCAAGAAATTACGTGGCCACCTTACTTGAGAAAACCCAAGGAGATATCAACAAGGCGCTGGATATATATTATAGTAAGCCTCAGATGAATCATGGTGAGAATACAGAAAATTTGGTAGCCTCCAGCAAATCAGTTCGGGTCCCGAGCTGTACTATTGATTCTTCTGTTTCCAAGAAGAAAAATGTGCCAGAGGAGTCAAGATGTTTGGCAGATTCATCTTTGCAAAGACAACCAATGGAATATGTGGAGACAACTCTTGTATCACTGCCTCCTGATAAATATAAACCTATAGACCATGGTTGGTGTCAAGAAGTTGTTTAATTTACTATTTTCATAATAGTGTATAATTTTACTAATTCTGGAGTCTGATAGCATCTGTTTAGAAATTATTTTATCTTTTCAAAACTCTTGGCAGATTTTTTTGAGTTATAGTAGTTTTACTACATCTTTGGTGTCTCTTTCATTAAGAGGTTAGTTCACAGAACTTCTCAGCTTATTCATAAAATTTTGAAACTCCTACTGAGATGTCCATGCAGCATGCTGGAAGTCTGGTCAGCCTGCTCCATACATCCATCTTGCACGGACTTTTGACCTGGTTGGGGGTCAAAAGGGCAAGATCAAAGCTACATCTATGCTTTGCAATATGTTTAGAAGGTTGGTACAGATTGTATCTTATTATTTGCATATATTCTTGGTTGTGGAATCAAAGTTTACATTGCATTACTAATAACTGACTGCTGACCATTTTTCTTTATGTTGTCCTTCAATCAGTTTGCTGGCCTTGTCCCCAGAGGACGTGCTTCCTGCTGTGTATCTGTGCACCAATAAAATTGCTGCTGACCATGAAAATATTGTTAGTCCAATTCTCCAGTTCTCCTGTCCTTATCTCCTTTTCCCTGTTTCAGATAGTAATTGGTTCTTACTCACTTTTTCTTAAAGATAAATTTTTTCCTCAAATTGTACTATTGTAGACCACTTAACAAATAAGAACAGAATTTGGGAAGAAATAGATTGAATGTAGCTCTGTTGCTGCAAAGCACAAGAAAACAAGATGCATTCATGCTGTACCAATGATACAGGAATTAAATATTGGCGGAAGCTTGGTTACATCCGCACTGGAAGAAGCTTGTGGGACTAACCGCTCAAAAATAAGGGATATGTACAATGACATTGGTGATCTTGGTAGGAGCGGAGCAGATAATTCCTGTCATAATTTTTAGTTTTCTGTTACTCTTTTCCTTCCACAGTTATTTTTGGAAGAGCCTTCTTAACACCCTATTTTGCTCTAAGGTGATGTTGCACAAGCGTGCCGGCAAACTCAAACTTTACTTGCTCCTCCACCACCATTATTAATTAGGGATGTATATGCTGTGCTCCGGAAGATAAGGTATGAACAGCCCAGTATGGATTATATGACAGTGAATGATATGAAATTGCTAAAATATTGATGCCATGACTAGATACTACTTTGTTTCTAGAGATGTAGGAAATAAGGAGTGTCCTAATAATTTGCAGTACTTAGAAAATTTGAAATAATTAGTTAATGCCTGGGTTTTTCTGGTGAGAAATTCACGGAGAACTTGCCACAATATGGTTTTAGTGATAAGAATTGATTTTCTAGATCACTTAATAAATAAGAAGCAGAATATTATTGTCATGGTGTTGATGGTAGACAGAAGATTTTGTTCTTGGATTTTAGATTAGGGTTTAGTTTTGTATTATTTCAATCTTTGTCATGTAAATTCAATTTGTCTCATTTTCCTCATATAGCATTTATCAGTGTACAAACAGGCAGTGGCAGCACCATCCGGAAGAAAAACCTCATTGTGAATCTTATGTGTTCATGTAGAGAGAAGGAGATGAAGTTTCTAGTTAGAACTTTGGTAAGATTCTGAAAATAATCTGTTTCTTCTATGTATGTTACATAGGAAATTCATGTTTTTAATTGTATGATTATGTAATATGCAACATTTTGAAAAGAATGGAAGGTTATTTATTTTATTTGAATAGGTGATATTTTTTTCTTGTATCCCAAAGTTTTGAGATCTTTTAGAACACTTCAAAATTGCTTTATTTAGCTGTTTGAAAGAAGTTCAAATATCATGTGGTATTATTTAATCACATGTACATGCATCAAGGTGCTTTGTTGTGTGGGTTAATCATTGAATCATAGCATTATCTGTGAAGTATTGCTAGACTGGTGGTTTTGGCAATTTGTACTGGAGCAAGATAGTCATTAAGAGTGATATATTGAAGTGAGCCTTGTCTCTTGCTAGAGCAGAGTCTAGAAAGCTTTTGCACCAGTATTTGGAAGAGCCAGTTCTAATTGCACACATTCTGGCAGTATCTGATAATTGAGATGAGAGATGATTTGTTTAGAATTTGGAAGGCTTTGATTGTTTCTTTGCATGGTTGTGGTTAAGTGCTGTTAATGGGCTTGTCATGCATACTGTTTCATTCTTGGTTTTAGTCTAGAAGCTTATGAAGTGTCTAGAGACATGCAGTTTTCCGAAAACCTGGATAAGTGACTTTCTTTGTGTATCAGATGGGAGTTTAGGTGCATTTGATCAGCACTTAGCAATTTGAATTCCCCTAATTGATGCATCATGCATAGTAGATGTGTGATCAAAACACACATTATGTTCTGCTGTTATTTTGGTATGCTTGTTGAATTTGGTCTTTTTTGTGTGATTGCCATTGTAACTTCATGAATGTGAATGAAGGATTCCTTGTTACATAATTGTTAAACATGCTGTATGAGCATTGAATTGCTCTGCAATGTCTTCAGTTTCTAAAATTGTGGTACATACAGATCAGGAATTTGCGAATTGGAGCAATGATGAAAACTATTCTTCCTGCATTAGCTCAAGCAGTTTGCATGAATTCCTCTCTTAATCTTTATCATGAAGGGTCAGCAGATAGTCTAAAAGAGAAGCTTCAGGTTAGATACTTATCATAAACTAATAAATAGATTGACTTTGTAATTTCAGATTGATTTTGTGAAGAATTGAATATCAATAGTAGATCTTTTGATAAAGACGTGTTGGTTTCATGGTTTGATTTATCTTTAAAAACAAAATTCTGAATAGACAAAATATGGGCATGAGAGCTTCCTAACTTTTTGCTGGGATTAACATTGTCAACTCAGCAAGTTGTTGTGCTTGTTGGTTTATGCCATGCCACTATGGTGAGAAAATGTAAAAACAATGAGTGCATTAACCTCCCCCCTTCCCCCCCCATCTCTCCCCCCCCCCCCCCCCCCCCCCCCCTCCCTGCCGATCCAACCAAAAGAAAAAAAGAAAGGAAAAGGATGAATGTAGATGTTCTGATGTTTGCATTGCACTGTCCTCTACAGAAATTCATGCGACCAAAGATCTATTAGATTTGTCTGTATGTGCATAATACTGTTTTGAGATTGCTTGTTTAATGCAACTGGGATCATCTGTTTTTGCTTTTATCCAATTTGATCTCTCAATCTCTTGCCAGGACATTTCTGCAGCAGTAATTGAGGTATATAACGTACTTCCAAATTTGGTAAGTGATAAGCAATTCATATCAAAGTTTTTCAATACATAATATTTTAAACATTTTTTAGCTGCAGACTTTCCACATCCACTTTCTATGAGAATGTTGGTACTGAATATATATAAATGTATGTATGTATGTATGCATATGTGTATATATGTGTATACATTATATTGCTCTTGCTATCTATTTTATTATAAATTAGAGTTCGTTTCATTTGACGGTACACATGCACATGCCAGATTATGTTGCCTTTCAATTCCTTCTCCCCATTCTTCTGAAATTCAGCTCCAGACTTTTTCCATATGTATATGCATGCATTATTTTGATCTTGCTGTCTCTGTTTTTTAATAAATCAGAGTCTGTTTCATTTGACTTTACACAGGCTCATGCTAGATTGTGATGCCTTCCAATTAATTGTCCCCATTCTTCCCAAAACCACATAAGATAGAGTATGTTTGTTTTGCATTATATGTGTGCTAAAAGTGCATTGTTAACAGGACTTGATTGTTCCTTCACTAATGAATGAAGGTATTGCATTTTCATCATCAACCTTGTCAATGGTTCCAGGAATACCTATTAAACCAATGCTTGCAAAGTATGTATAACATGTTACTCTATTGTTTGCTTTTTTTTTTTTTTCTTATCAAAGTCAACTAATGCTGTTCCCTAATGGTGGTTTTACTCTACATAATGGTAGAATTACTAACGGGGTTCCAGAAGTGCTGAAGCTCTTTCAAAACAAAGCTTTTACATGTGAATATAAGTAAGCTCTTATTCATTCTTTCACGATCTTTTGATGCTATATACAGATTTCCTCAAGTTTAAAGTGCATTATTTGTTATATTTGGGTTTGGCAAGGAACAAAAACTAGATTCAGAAAGAGTTTTGATGTACCTACCTAAGTTTATCATTATGGAGTGAAGTTAGGCTCATGAACACTTGTAATAAACCCCCCTAGTTTCTATTGTTGTTTTTATTGAGTCTGGATCATTGTATATTTAGTGTGCTTAGCAAATTTTGAGATTTTTAATTTTTGTGATAATATGCATGTAGTTAATTTGGATGAAATTTGTGAGGTTATTGTGACCAACTATTAGGAAACAACTATTAGGAAACTGACAGTTTGCAATAATATTTGGCTGTGACCATATCGTGTCTTATGACAGCAGGGGATGTGATGTACTGATAATATGTTTTATGTGTCTTTAGATCTTATATCGTGGTTAAAAGAAAGAAGAGGAGAAAAAAGAACCTAGTGGAGGGCATAGCTTGTAGTTTCCTCATGACTCTTCCATATCTGTTAGTTTTATCGTATATTATGTATAACCGAGTGGTTCCATATGCCTTTGATTTTCAGATATGATGGTCAGCGTGCCCAAATTCACAAATTGGCAGATGGATCAGTGCGTGTCTTTTCACGAAATGGGGATGAAACAACATTAAGATTTCCAGATTTAATTAATACAATTAAGGAGTCTTCTAAGCCTGCTGCCCAGACTTTCATAGTGGATGCTGAGGTGAGATTGTCTAACAGCAAGATGCTTTTTAATTCTTTGAGATTGACTTTTTTCTCTATATTTTCCTGGTTATTCCTTCAAACCGAACTGAGCTGCAGTACATCTCAGTTGGAGAAAATACTCTTTTATGTTTCTAATGCTGTGTTTCGTTCTGGCTTCAGGTTGTTGCAATTGATAGGAAGAATGGTTGCAAGCTCATGTCCTTCCAAGAATTATCTTCAAGAGAAAGAGGGAGCAAAGATTCTTTGATCACAGTGGACAATATAAAGGTTTGATTTATTTTCTCTTGGAATAATACATGATTATGGTTTACTGCTCTTTTAGCAAGGTTTGGAAGTTTGATGATGCAAGCTTGAAACATTTAGGTAAATTAAAATTGAGGATCTGCATAGCTATTTCAGTTTCGCTTGATTGTTATTTAAGATACCTATTTCCTTTGTGCTTTTCTCTATGATGTTAAAGTCCCTTTCAGTATCTATTTATTCTCATTTTTTATCTTCTTTTATAAGTTCAACTTTCATTTCCTATACCCTAAAGCTAAATTTTGAGGTTTCCTTCTAATATCATTGCTACATGCAGGTTGACATTTGCGTATTTGTGTTTGACATCATGTTTGCTAATGGAGAGCAGTAAATATCTTGAACCCTCTCTTGGACTTGTTCTGATTTTTTTCTTGACATACATCTGTAGAGATATGTAGACTAGAATATCCAGGACAAGTAATAGCTGGAGTATTTTCTGATTCTATGAATGACAGGAGCTTTCCCATGACCACTAGTAAAGAACCAACCTTTACATGACATTGGTATAATTTGAATTTGAATAGAATATTGAATGTGTTCTATCAGTTATATATCTTTCCTCAGTGTCTCTTCAATTGACAAATACATGCAAGAGATTCAATAAAATATTGAAAATTTGGCTAGTGATATTATCACTTCCAAAATGGGCATTCCGTAAATGGATTTTATTTACGCTTATGATGAATTCACCTTGACTGCAAACATATTTCCTCCCTGACAAAAACACTATCAAAAGACTTCTAATTATCCCAATTGCGTGCCACATTACCAATGCCATATAGTTCTTGTGTTTACAACTGCATTAGAAGGTACTTCAATTAAATGAAACTGCTTGAGTGCTACACTCTTTTTATAAACTACCATGGACTAATGCAGTTTAGATTTATTCCTTCATCAGAAGACCTATCGAATGGGGATGTTTTTGTGACATATGGGGATGTATTAGCAATTTAGCATTTTAAAAATTCAGTCAGTGTTTGCGAACTCATTTTTCAATGTGATAGAGATTGGTTAATGCAGTAGAAATATTGTTGCCATATCTTCTTTGTTTTGAGTTTGAGAAGACCGTAGAGTAAGTTGACAGTCTTCCTGTTAATATGAAAGGGGATAGATTAGGAGGCAGGAGAATTCTGGAAACTTAATTTCTACTCGCTTCTGCCACATGTATTAAGTCTAACAATTTTATCAACCTATGCTGTTTCAAATCAGGTCAATCACCTGCAACCTTGCTATGCTTATAGTTGAGCATTTTAGTTCTAGACTAAAAGATTATAGATTTTCAAGTAGATATGAAGCTCTTTATCTGAAAATGCACCTTTATTTAGAACAGTTGGCTCTCTCATTTATGCTGTTGCTTTCTTATTTTCATTCAACTTCAAAAATATGATTGAAAGTTCCATTACAGGTTGTTAGGTTCTCCTCTACGCCAAAGAAGGAAATGTATGCCATTCCCCATCTCAAAATTGTTCTTTTTTTAGGGTTAATTTTTTTCAAATCCCTCTTATGTCTAAGTGTTGTAGGTGGTAAGTTTAATCCTCCTTCTCTTGTCCTGCTTCAAAAATTTAGGTTTGAAGGATTTGTTTTACGATGAGAAGTTGGGTCACTTTGAATATGCAAAAGATATTACAGTAAGTGCTCTAGGCTTTGCCTGTTTACAGAATAAATTTTTATGTGATTAGTAATATTTATGATTTCTGCTTTACAGGTGGAAGCCAATGATGCTTGTTTGACCAGTGAGGCCACATTGACTAGGATAAACTCTTTCCTTGATGATGCACTGCACTTCTCATGTGAAGGAATCATGGTTAAATCCTTAGATACTGATGCTGGATATTTTCCATCAAAGCGTGGTGACACATGGTTAAAGGTTTTTTGTTTACTTGAATTTTTTATCATTTAACTGCTTAAGAACTAGGAAGATTTTATCAAAATAAAATCTAGGAAGAGGGCATTATTAAAAGAAAATTTTGGAAGATAGAAAAAGTATTGAATCTGAGTGCTTGGTGTTCTCTCTTAGGTGAAGCGAGATTATGTGGAAGGATTAAATGACTCCCTTGATTTAGTCCCTATTGGTGCTTGGCATGGTAATGGGAGAAAAGCAGGATGGTAATGAGCTTTTTTTTCCCCTTTGTTGTTGTTTAATAATGCTTCATACTGTATTTGAGTGACAAATAGTTTATAGAGGGAAAGGATTATTTAGAGTGGAGTGACTGGAATGATAAAAGGACATGTTGAGGGAGATATTAATAACTGTTGTGGCTGTTGTAAGCTTTTGATTGAGTAAATGGAACTTTGAGTAGCATCCCCATTTCTTGAAAGATATTGATGTCATGCAGATTTGGGATGGTCTGCCTCTGTGGCTTTGGGGGGCTTAGGGTTGACATATAGAAGTGGCGAGGGGAACAACAACTAGAAAACAGAGACATAGTTCCATTGATCAAAACCCTACTGTCTTGAAGCCATTAGGGTTAGAATTGCATTTATGAAATTAATTAGTAAATTGGTAATTAAATAATAGACTTCAAGAAAATAAATCTAAGCTCCTAGAGATTTCTGGAATCATTTAAACTTTGACCTATTAACTTATAAAATCCCAGGTGTGCAGGAACTTGGATCTTGGTGGCACTGTAAACTTAGAGTTTGATATTAAGTATAAGTAGCCTGTGCACTGTAAGAGACATGATGTTCTACTAGCTGGGAGGTTTAGCAAGTATGGAATTGAAGAGAATGGAGGGATATGCATTTTATGATGTATTTTCATATATTTCCAAACAAAAAGATACAGATGATTAAATTCTAATAGATAAATATATTGATTTATATAGTTTATTTCCTTGCCACATGCTTTCAATGTGAGTCCTTTCTCTTTTAAAATCATGCTTTTATGTATGTGTTTATTGCAGGTACAGTCCATTCCTCATGGCATGTTACAACCCAGACACACAAGATTTTCAAAGTGTGTGCCGTGTTATGTCTGGGTTCTCCGATTCATTTTACAAAGAGGTAAAGTGGGATGTGAATGATGTTTGTGTTAGTTTAGAAAGTGGACAGCTCTTCCGTATATACCATGGATATGGTGTTAAATCTTACAAGCAATGAATGACACTTGTAGATATAGTTATGTTTTATTAAGATTGGCTTAATTAAGCTTTCAATCACAGGCATATTTGTTTTGAAGCATATTGAACTACTGACAATACAGTTTCCCTAACAGTAGAGATAATGGCTCTGGTATGGGATTGCATGAGTGTGTTGACATAAAGATTTATCCTGGCTCCTTCTGTTTGTAAGACAGCTATATAGCAAGAGGTTTTCTTTTCTTCTTAATTCTCAGATTTAATATAATGGCTATAATATTGTTATATACTGTGCTTGGTAGTAGTTTAAAATACTCTTTTAATAGTTCCTTGAAGAAACCAGAAGTGACTCTGAAGATACTACCAGTCATATGCTGCTCTATGCATATAAGTTGCCATCTTCATCTTTTCATCTTGTTGTTTTAGGCTAAGATTTGCATGTTATGCTACAGGAATAACCTGCATGACAAATATGTTTTCTTTATTGAGTTCAGATGAAAGAATTCTTTTCTGGAGATAGGATCTTAGCCAAAAAGCCAACTTACTATCAAACAGCTGAGGTGCCTGATATGTGGTTCTCCCCAGCACTTGTTTGGGAAATAAGAGGTGCAGACTTCACTGTCTCACCAGTTCACCAGGCTGCTATAGGTTTAGTCCATCCATCCCGTGGCATCTCAATAAGATTTCCAAGGTACATTTGCTCTGTGTCTGATCGAAATCCTGAGGAATGTAGCACAGCTGCAGATATAACCGAAATGTTTCACTCCCAGACTCGAAAGATGGATGTGATAGTTGAACACTGAATACTAATTTCTTGTTTCAGTACATAACTTGTTTTTCTAGTTCTAGTATTGGCTGGTATATTGTGCAGTGAAGGTGGGATTGTTGAGTGTAGAGGAAATGAGGTTTACGCCAATGAACCCTTTTGGATGTGATGCTTCCCTTGTGGCCTTTGTAAAGATGAAAGATGTTAAGGCTTTTCATTGTTTTAGTTTTTGCCCATCTTTTTAATGAATGGAAATATTATCAGCTTGAAAACAATGAAGTCGATATTCAGGGACTTGATTGAATATTAGATGCTTGAACCGAGAGAAGTATGAACATGCCCGTACGGGTATAGTTGATTTAGGAATAGTAGTCCACATGATTTGTTACTCTAATAACAACATGGCATTTAAAGATCCAATTCTTCTTTCAATCCAGATAGTTGGAGTTGAGATGGTTAGCCAAACACATGAAGCAACACAAATGGTTTATAGAATACAACAAGGACCATGCAAGAGCGAAATAACCACTTGTGTTCTTGTACCTAAGGCAACTCCCAAGAAGTTGGGCAACCGATTATGAGAAACTCTGAGTTCTGTTCTTTTATCCCTAGGCTAATTACTTATTTAATTGTAAATACAGAAAATGAGCTGTAAATAAGTAATTCTGTACTTATTATTATTTCTGTTTCATTTTCAAAACTTTGGGGTATATGAGTGAAACTCTTATATATATATATGTATATATATATATATAATACTTATTTCAATATGAATTCTTCATTTATTTATTTTTTTGAGAATTGTGAATTCTTCATATTACTTATTACTTTTTTCCATTTAAACTTGAAAACGTCGATGTAATAAGGAATTTAAAATATTAATGTAAAAAGAATCTTTAGTTATTCATCAAAATTATTTAACAACATATCCTAAAGTGTTAAAAAAAAATAAAAAATGAAACACTTGAATTGTTTAAAAAATATTTTTATTTACTATTTATAATTTTTTTATGGTGGATCCTCCCTTTTTACTTTAGACAACAATTGTTCTTATTGGCATAGAGATAATCACTGTCTTCAATGGGTTTTTTTTTTTTTACCTGAACCACCTCAGTTAAAAAAGAAAACAAAAATCCCCGTTATCTCCTTCCTTCTTTTTCATACGCTCCAGTCTCCCGCCAAATTCCCCAACCGGCTATCACCTGTAATCTTCTAGACAACCTGCTGGTTCTTCCGGTTGTCCAAATTGCAAAATTTTCCTCAGCCAAAAAAAAATAATAATTTATGTTTCTTTTATATTTGTTACTGCCAAAAGCACCTTTCCCTCCTTTCTTTTGTTCCCTCCTTCCCAACTCCCTCGATTCCCATTTTGTTTATTTGGTTTTTCTTTCAAATTCCAAAAACCTAAAATTCCCACCAAAACAAAATCCCCAAATTTCCTTTTGGAATCGCTTTTTTTCGCTGTTGCTTTCCTCTTCTTCTTCTTCTTCTTCTTCTTCTTAATTTTTAAATCTTCTGTTTGTTCTGTTCCCTTTCTTTTTTTTTTATATATATATCTTTAAGGTTTTTATTTGGAGGTCGATGAAGGTTCGGGGAGCTAGGGTTTGGATTAATCGGTGTGAAAATACAGCAATTTCTTTTGATTCGAGACAATGAGTGCCGTCAACATTACAAACGTCGCCGTTTTGGATAATCCGGCATCATTCTTGACTCCATTTCAGTTCGAGATCTCCTACGAGTGTTTGACTCCTCTTAAAGACGGTACTTTTTCTGACCTTTTTTTTTTAAAATTTTGGTATTGGTTTCAGTGCTTTTGTTTTCTATTTTTTTTATTTTTGGATTTTTTAAATTTATTTTTAGTTAGGGTTTTGTTCGTATTTAAGGCTCTAGACTTTTTTTGCCCCATTTGGGAAAAGAACAGGAATTAGCATGGTTTAATGAGGTTTATTTAGTTAATTGGTGATCTAATTAAGTGTTAGGGTTTGTATTGTTATTGAAGATAGCGTTATGGTTTGGCATAAGTGGAACGTTACTTGCAAGTTTTGATTGCATGTTTCGGCGTTATGAGCTTATAGAAGAGTGTTATTAAGAATGAAACTTAAAAGTGGGAATTTGTTCTACTTTATATTCTACAGAAAGTTAAGCTTTTTGTGAGATGACAAATATATATTTTTTCCCTTGTTTTTGGACAATAAGAAAAGAAAGAAGAAACTTGTTTTAAGTTGTAAAGCTAATTTCTTTTTACTTGGTTAGGTTTCCTTTTGTGTTTGCTTCGTTTGATTGGCAAGTGCAATGGTTATAGTGTTTTATTTCCAAAAGATTGCCGTATGCATGAATCTATGAGGATAAACTAAAGGACACAAGAACAAGGTTTAGAATCCTAGGATGCATATCTTGATATTTTGAGACAACTTAAGTCAACTAAGAACCTAGAGAATTGACTAGATTAATGGGCTTAAGTAGAATGGGTTGCTACTGGTCATCAAGTACAAAAGCATTCTGAAGTATCTAGAATAAAGAAATGTGGGAATGTATGCCTATGCCAATTGTTGTGTAGAAGAGCAGCCTTCAGCTTGGTTGCCTGCTTTTGTATGTTTAAGCTGGGAGGACTTTAATGCACGCTGCTCAGACTTATTATCCTAATGCACGCTCACATTGTCAACCTTATTGCCCTTCTAAAAGATAAAAGAGTATTGCAAGTTTATATGCAGTAGAACACTCATTTGGTTTCACAATTCTGGCAGTTTTTTCCAGTATAGTTAGAGTAGTATTCTGGTCATAAATTCTGGTTGTGTTTGTATTAACCTAATATAGTTCACCATCTATATGTGATGAGGAAAATCTATCTGAGTTTTGAGTTATGTTCAGTTTTTGTTGACTTCACATCTTTTTGCAAGCTTGAGATATATTCATGTTTTCATTCCTCTGCAGATTTAGAATGGAAACTTATCTATGTAGGATCTGCTGAAGATGAGACTTATGATCAACTACTGGAGAGTGTACTTGTTGGGCCTGTTAATGTTGGAAATTACCGTTTTGTATTACAGGTAATCTCTATTGTCTCCTGGTTTTAATTGTGTACAAAACACGGATTTGATGTATTTGTTTTTGCTTCTTATCTCTGTCCTTGTTTATGTTGCAGGCAGACCCACCAGACCCGTCAAAGATCCGTGAAGAAGACATTATAGGTGTGACAGTGCTTCTCTTGACTTGTTCATATCTGGGTCAAGAATTTGTCCGAGTGGGCTACTATGTTAACAATGATTATGATGATGAGCAACTCAGAGAGGAACCTCCCCCAAAGGTGTTGATCGAGAAAGTTCAAAGAAATATTCTATCTGATAAACCTAGAGTTACAAAGTTCCCCATAAATTTCCATCCTGAGAATGGTGGAAATGAAGAACCCCCTCCAGCTGATCACCCTGTTGAAAATGATGGAAATGAGGAACTTCCTGCTTCACCAAATCAAAAGGAGGATCAGCAGGGACCTTAAATTTTTGACTTGCAGACATTGCTGGCATTCAAGATAGATAACCTGGTACGGATTAAACTCCAACTGTGAACCACAGTTTGACAATGAGATGAAGATGCTTATTCAAGTAATGGTTCAGAAATGCTAGATGTCGTATGGCTGTTTTTGTTTGTTAGAATAACTACTGTTTCACTGAGATGATTGCCCTTGAACACTTAAAATTGGATTTCCAAGTTTGTAACATACTTCTGGAGTTTCATTTGCTTCACCATCTCGACCATTGCCTTTTCTCCCTCGCTCATGCAGGCATGTGATTTTGTCGATATGGACTGTTGCCAGTATCATTCTATATTTGGCATTAAAATTGGTTTTGTTGCCAGTATCATTCTATATTGGGTATTAAAATTGGTTTTCATATGATTCTATAATACCCATATGGTTCCTTATGTTACTCCCTTTTATTTTTGTCAGCCCAAGGAAAATGTAAATTTGAGTGCAAAAACAAATTAGAGTCTGATTTCAATGTATAGAAAAATAAAAAATTTGTTTCCTTTATGAGACATTATACTTATATTGATCTAAGAATTAACTGTATTTGTCTATTTTCAAACCAATATGATATAGTTTTTAATTTTATGTAGTAATACCTTTAAGAAAAACAAAGAAAAAAAATTCTTTTAGAAATTTAAAATAAGAACAGCAAAACACAAATCATAAAATAAAAAACCAAACATATCTTAAGTATTTTGCAACCAACCATTTTTTAAAGTAATATGATGATGTTCTACAAAGTTTATTAGCTTTCTTCATTTGGTATACTCTTTCACCATTGATGCATCTGCAAAGGTCAGACTGATTCCTTTTTTTGTTCATTAACTCAAATTTATATGTTCCCAAAATCTATGTATATTGCAGGAAATGCGACCAGCATCCAAACCATCTTATGATATGTAAAACCAGCTCTCGGATAACCCAAATTTCCGAGCTCTTTCAATAACTGAGCATAGTTCGCTCCAGAAGTCTTACAAGCAAATCCAAACTATGATGATTGAAAAAGGATCACGAATGCAAAAAATTTTAAAAATTAAAAAAGAAATGGAAACCCTAAATTTCACAGGATGTCATATGGTTACATCGCATAACTTTGCTCCGCAAAACTGATGGGACCTATTTGTTGCATTGCTAGTTGGTCTATTCTCGCAACATCTTTCAATTCTCATTCTTACGCCCTCTTTTAGCTCCATTTTTTATAGAATGCTTTTCTTCTCTCGTTCTCTGCAGTTTATGTTAGGGAATTAGTTGAGACTCTTACTTAAAAGTCCAAAGAAATGCATGACAATTAAATGTCTATTACCTTCCTTTTTGAACCCTTCCCCCATCGATGCCTTCCTCCTTTATGTTTCTTTTTGTGTTTATCCTAGTACAAGAAAATAGAATTGTAGATATTGTCCACATGGATATTCAATCTTCAACCTACACAGAACTTCGAATAGACCAACCTGTGCAACAGCATTAACTGGAGCATGTGTTTCTGTAGCAGTCTCCTGGTTCTCAATTTCCCCATCACTGTTGAGCATAGTCTTCAGCCTACCTTCCTTGAGTAATTTCTCTGATCGAGCATGCCTCTACAATAATAAAGGAAGTTTTGTTAGATCAGCATCAGAGACCCTATGTAGAACCAAACATGCAAATTCCTTTATAGTGATCAGTTGGCAAGTGCCACATAAAAATGAAGCCTGGAAACACGGATCGACATTTAGGCACTGCATATCAATGGTTTAAGTGCCATGTATAATTTCTTATCATTTTCTCAA